TTTCCCTCTTAAGTTGTTTATAGAATATGCTCTTTTTTTTCTTCTCAAAAGTATATCATTATTTAGTACTCAATATTTTCAATTACTATAGAGTTTAGGTCACTTAATAAGAAAACAACCACCATGATGAAGTAAAACATATTATATTTACTATTTTTGGGATCCAAAAAGTACTTGATAAAGCTTAAAGGTGGTCTAAAGCTTATTTGAAATTATTGGCTAATGCATTGATATTAGCAAAAAATAAAGGGTTAATAATTAGTCCAAGCATGGCTAATCCACCATAACTTACTCATTATAGGAAATTATACAATAAACAAACAACAGTTAGCTACCAACTTTGTACTCGGTTTGGCCTGGTTATTTTTAAAAGGCGAAATTCTCGATCGTAGTTTGGTTATATATATTTAGTGTGATTAAATTGTGAATCGAGTAGAGAAGATTATCATCTTCTTTTTCTTAAAAAATAGGAGTACGATTTTCACAGTGAAGTAAGAGGCCTAGTAATACAACATCATGGTTTAGCTTAGTCTTGAGCCTCTGACAAGAAGTTCACTGCTTTTTACGTATTGATTTTTGTGGAATCATTTGAGGTAAACAATTCTTTTGATAACTTGTCTCTAACTCATTGCTAAATAAAATTAGTAATGTAAGTTCTTGAGTCGCGGATCACCCATGTGAATCAAATTGGTTCGATTTGATTCAACCCGGCCCATTTTTATTTTGAAAGAAAAAAGATAAACTACAAATTTACAAAGGGGAAATAGTTACAAAGTAATTACTTCAACGTAAAGAAACTTTCTTTTTAAATTGTTTTATCTAACGCTTCTCGACAAATAAAAAAAAATAAAAATGAACAAAAACAAGAAAAACTTTTTTTCTTCATAGGAAAATCAACAAATAAAGTTGACATTTAATTTGTGAAACATAGCCTTTATTTCCTATGAAGCAATTCGTTTTGACAACAAAAGCAAGAATATTCACTGCAAATATAAAATACATAACTCGTCGATTTTTCGCTCTATATATTTAACAAGTAATAAATTTTATTATTGATTATTAAATTCATCGGTCAATAATTCTTCTTTCTTTTAGTAGCATGCAAAAAGTAAAAAATTCTTTTAGAAGTATTGCAAAAGTAATGAAAAGCCCATAAAATTCCTTCAAACGTGCAATGCTATTTCCCTTTATTAGAAAAAAAGAAAGAAAAGAAAATGTGCATCATTGACTATTGTTTTTCTTTTTAATTTGGAATAATCATTGTTTAATGTTTACTCCTAATAATTTTTTTTGTTTAGTGCTAATAATTACTACTTATGGGGTTTGATTGGAATTTAACGGTAAAGTCAATTTTAAAATTTCTTTAATTTTTAGAGGTTCTTCTAATTAATAGAAAAAGAAATCTAATCTCAAACAATTCTTCTTTTTTTTTTTTTAAATAGTAATAAAAAGAAAGAAACAAAATTTCAATTCACACAATCCTTATTTCCCTATTTTTTTTTCTTCTTTATTGCATGAATCATACATGAGATAATTTTTAGGCTAAAAATAAGAGGTTACGTTTCAAGGTGAAAAAATATAAATTTGAATTAATTTTTATCCAAAACTATAAACATGCATAATTTAGTTAAAAAATAAAATAAATAAACAGCAAATGACTATTTAATAATTTGGCAGCCTTATAATTTTAACTCATGATAATACAATTAAAATAAAAATCCATGCCATGTGAATCATGTACCTAATCATTGTCAATTTTGGTAAGGTCCAATCCCCCAAATTGTATTAACATTAAATCATAAATTTTAGAAATATATTTATATCACTGAAAAATTGAATGAAGTTTAAAAAGTTTTAAGTTCAAAAAATTGATTCAAACTAGATTTGGGGGGTTGGGGATCACTTTTACTTATATAATTTTAGATATTTTGAGATACATAGCTGAACATAACTTTAAATTTTAAAAATTACTATTTTAAAAAATTAAAATTTAAGTTCTAACTTCAAAATATACCGTCAAAAGTATCTTTAAGAAAATAAAATTAAGTAAATATTTGAAGCTTGAGATCCAAACAAAAAGAGTGGTCAACCTGTATGGAAAAAAATAATACGTCATACTACATGACATTCTACATAGTAATTTATATCATATGTAATGTTATATTGTATTATGTCACGTAGAATTTATGTGTTTATTTATTCGACTTTATATTAATTTAAATATATATTTGTACACTCCAAAAATTGAAATGCACAAATATAAAATGAGATCAAATTATAAAACACATATATTATATTTTAAAGTGCAACTTTCACATATAGCAAATAAAAAATTCATATTTGTATGCTATAGCAAAGTTTGCATAATTGCGTTCCATAGCAAACATAGAAACTGTATAATTCGCTATACATATACAGTTGAAGCAAATTGTATAAACGAAGTTTTTAAAACAAGAAAGAGAAAGACACTTGGGCAGAGAACTGTATAAAACGAATTGTATTATTATAAGTGTATAGAATGATTATATACAATTTGAATTTGAATAAAATGAGAAAGAGAGAAATACAAAAGAGACTTGACAAGGAATATACAACTGAATCGAATTGTATAAAACGAGAAAGAGAAAAATTAGATACAATTTGAAAATTGTATAAAACGAGAAAGAGAGAAAGACAAAGAAACTAAGCAGGGGAATATTTTTATTGGTATAATTATAAGTGTATAGGACGTTTGTATTTGCATGTGTATATACAATTTTCTCACGCTTATACAAACAGAAACGCAATTTATACATTTCGCTTCTGTTTGAATAAGTGAGAAAGGCGAGCATGGCGAGCGAGATTTGGGAGAGTGGCAAGCGAGATCTGGAAGAGGGGAGAGAAGGGAACAAAAATATATGTATTTATACATTTTTTCTCTGCTTTATACAATTAGAAACAATTTTTATACACTTATTTTTGTATAAAAAGTGAGGAAGCGAGCGATTGGAGGAGAGTGACGAGCGAGATATTTGGGAGAGAGGCGCCTGTTAATTTTTTGCAAACGTTTGCTATGGAGTACAATTGAATCAAACTCTGACTACTCTATTTATTTTAGATTATTAATTTGCTATTATATATAAATTTTCTTGTTTTAAATTAAATAATATAAAACAAGTAATTCACACCTAACGAGTTCATCCACGAATAAAGTACTAAAATTTGGGATTGTGAAAAACGTGAAGGGGTAGGTAGAAAGTAGATGCAATCTTTTTATTTTTGTTTTCTTATAAGATATAAGATCTTTACACCATCACAAAGGATGTGGTATAGACGATACCGTATAGTGGGTAAAGTTGCTTTTTAATTAATTAATATTTGAAGTTCGAATTTTAAATATAAAAAAATTATTGAAAAGGAATGTTTTCTTTCAAATGGTGCTAAGAAAATACAAATTTAAAATAGTCAAATTTTAATATGATACCAAACATCGAATACTAAAATAATATAATAAAATATGTCCCTCCCTCCATTTTAATTTATATCATTCACTTTTCTTATTAGTCTATCCTTTATAAGTGATATGTTTTTATATTTAGTAAGAATTTCATTTAAAAATGTCTACTTTAACTTCGACGAATGATTTTCCACCAAAATAACTATTTATGATTTATTTTAAGGAAAAACTATATAAATGAGCTATAGAACTCAAAATAATTATATATTCATATATCCAAAATGATTTAAGAAATTTCATATTCTTAAAAAAATTACAGCCCATACCTTCCATGCATTAACGCTATCAATTTTTATTTAATTGATATTAAATTAGTATCATATACTGTATTGATATTATTAAAGCTAATAATTCTGCTTAATTGATATTAAATTAGTATATAATATATATATAAATTAAAGTTTGTTGTTCATAAATTATTTATTAGTCAATAATATTATAAGAATATATGTATATTATTGTGATATCATTAAGATTTCTTATTATTTTTAAAGCATTTAAGAAATTTCATTCTTTTTTAAATCTCATATGAAATAAAGCTATCGTCGTATAAATTAGGACAAATAAAATAAAATAATTTTTTGATACTCGAAAAAAAGATGCTTTTGACAAAAATTAAATATTCTTTTTTTATTTTGCAAAGGGGGGTTGTGGGGTGAGTTTAGTGGGCCCAATCTTTTTGACCAAAAGCTGATACTTAGTAAAAACACAAAAACCCTAATTGAGTAGATCGTCCCATCATTTTACAATAATCACTAAAGTATTTCCATCATTTTACTAAATAAATAAAATAAAAGTCATAAGCTTATAAATAAATAAATTACCAACTCCAATAAGTAAAATTCACTTATTAATATATATATTTTTATTTATACTTTGATCTATATAAAATTAAATAGACCTTTGATGCTAGGATTTGAGGTCCTAATTTAAAATCACATTTAGTTAGGGAAATTTCTAAAAAAAAAAATCATTTTTAAATTCTCTAAAAAAGTAAAAAAGTTTCAAATTTTAAGTTAAAATTATTTTTAAAATATATAAAACTTGACCTATAAATTTAAATTTTACATTTTTTTCTTTATATAAGTTTTAAAAGAAAAGATCACCATAGTATAGAGATTGATCGTACCATTTTAAAGGATTATGTTATATTGATTTTTATAAAATTATATCTATCTCAAAAAATATTATCACAAATATTTATTTATTAAATAACATAAAAATAAATACTTTCTTCGCTCAAAATTAACATCTAATAATATTTGGATAAAAACAACATAAATTTTTATATAGCTCATAGTTATAAATATATAAAATTTCACCATATTTCATTTGAAAATCATGTTCCAAAAATGGATTAATAATCTTTAATAAAAGATTCTCTTCCTTTTTTTAATAATCTTTTTTAATGTTATAGATTTTGTGTTACTATTATTATCTTATTTTATTTTATCTTATATACATTGTACAGAGAAAGAGAGTGTGAATGAGTCTGAATAGAGTCCTCAGATTTGCGGTAACAATTGTAGGTATCCACCTGAGTTAAAGGGTTAATTCAAGACCCTGTTTTGTATTGTGGCCTATAAATAGACAAGGTTTAGTTATGGCAGATGAGTGTGCTGCTTTTATGAAGGGAACTGAATTGCCAGTGAAGAGGCCAAGAGAGGAAGAAGCAGAAACAGAGATGGAGGCAGCCAATAACAGCAACAATGGTTGTGAGAAAGAGGAGTCATCTCCTTATATCTCTTCTGTTTTACCTGGATGGTTCTCTGAGATTAGCCCCCTTTGGCCTGGTTTGTTCTAATCTCTTGTATAGTTTTTTGTTTCAAGTTTTCTTTGGTTTTATGCATCTAGGTATTTAAGATTCTGCTTTTGGTGAATTGGGTTGTTATTCATATCTGGTTTTGGGGTTTATTAGTCTAATGATGTTTTGTGGGAATAAAAGTGTGGATTTTTTTGTTATTTGGGTATCTAAGGTTCTGGTTTTGGGGTTTATTACTGTAATGATGTTTGTGGGTATCAAAGTTTGGATTTTTTTGTTATTTGGGTATCTAAGGTTCTGGTTTTGGGGTTTATTACTGCAATGATGTTTGTGGGTATCAAAGTTTGGATTTTTTCTTATTTGGGTATCTGAGATTCTAGTTTTGGGTTATTGGGTTGCTCTTGGTTTCTAGTTTTGGTGGATTTTGGGGGATTATTTCTCTAATGATGTTTGTGGGTATCAAAGTTTGGATTTTTGCTTATTTGGGTATCCATAATTCTGCTTTTGAGGGATTGGGTTGCTCTTGCTTTCTGGTTTTGGTGGGGTTTTGGGGTTTATTACACTAATGATGTTTGTGGGCATCAAAGTTTGGATTTTTTCTTATTTGGGTATCCAAAATTCTGCTTTTGAGGAATTGAGTTGCTCTTGCTTTCTGATTTTAGTGGGGTTTATTACTCTAATGATGTTTGTGGGTATCAAAGTTTGTTTTTTTCCTTATTTGGGTATCCAAGTTTGTCTTTTTGGGAGATTCTTGGTGGGTTGAATACGTGAATGCTTGTGGGTATCAAAGTTGTGATGGTTGGCGATTGGTTTCAGCTTTGTTCTGTATGTTGGATTTTTAGTTTTGTAAATGTTCTGTTTTTGTGGGGGTAAGTGTGTGAGCGGGTGGTTGCTGTAAAATTCTCAAAGTGAGATTTGGCACTTGAAAACTTGCCTCCTATCTACTTCAGGATTGAGGTCTAGTTTTATTTTCTGGAAATCTAGTACTAGTTGTGAACAAAAAGGGAAGAGGTTACTGACAGGAAACGAATTATGCAGGGGAAGCACACTCATTGAAGGTTGAGAAGATATTGTTTCAGGGGAAGTCTGATTACCAGAATGTCTTGGTTTTTCAGGTATTTGGTTGATCTACTAAGGTTTTAGTTTCTTCTCTTTTTTAAGATGCTGAATGCTTTATTATGTGCTGCTTGCTCATTTTTGTGGTGCAGTCATCAACTTATGGGAAGGTGCTTGTTTTGGATGGTGTGATCCAACTTACAGAGAGGGATGAATGTGCTTATCAAGAGATGATCACTCATCTTCCTCTTTGTTCAATTCCCAACCCTAAAAAGGTCAGTTACACTACCATGACTTGAAAGTATTAAATCTTGAGATCTCATATGCTTTTTGACAGCATTCGATGTTATATCCTGAGGTCTTATGACACATTGCTTATCAAGCCCATGGATTAGAAATTTTATCAACATCTGTTTTCTGTTTGTATAATTCATCCTTACAAGCTTCATTTGTTTGTTTGTTTGTTTGCCCTTTTTATCACATTCTGCAGAAATTGTTTGTTTATTTGCCCCTTCTAATCGCATTCTGCTGAAATTGTTTGTTTGTTTGTCTGCCTTAATGTAATTGCATTCTGCTGAAATTGTTTGTTTGTTTGTCTGCCTTAATGTAATTGCATTCTGCAGAAATTGTGTATGAAGAGTGATATTTGCAGTCGTATAATGGCCAAAAGCTATTGGTGCTGTTTGTTTCTTTTATTTATGTGCCAACTTAAGATGATTCTTCTTTCCTCAGGTGCTGGTTATTGGAGGAGGAGATGGTGGTGTCCTGCGTGAGGTATCCCGTCACTCTTCTGTCGAACAGATCGACATATGTGAGATTGACAAAATGGTAGTTGAGGTAAGCAGACTTGTTGATGCTAATTCATAAAAATGGTACATATTTGGTCTTCTAATTACATGTATTAGCAGTGTCTAATGGCATATTCGATCTTAGTCCAGAAGTGCTACTAGATTTTATCCTTTCTCTGTATTACTTGTTATTACAAGGTTTTGATGAGCTAATTCATGTATTTCATGTTAAGGACATCTCATTTGTAACTTACTAGCTTTAAGCTCTTGGAGAACATAATGCGATGTTGAAATTAAGTCTTCCTTCTCTTCCGACAGGTTGCTAAACAATTTTTCCCAGATGTAGCTGTAGGATATGAGGATCCACGTGTGAATCTCCACATTGGTGACGGTAAGATCAAATAATGATTCTTGTTATCTTCTCAACCTTTCTGTTTGATTCTCATTTTAGTTCACTTACTAACATATATAAGTTCTTGGTGTTTCCTTTTTCCTGCTGTTTTGCAGGAGTTGCATTTTTGAAAAATGTACCTGCCGGAACTTACGATGCTGTCATAGTGGATTCATCTGACCCTATCGGTAATCTATCATGTCATTGCTTGAGTACTACCTTTTTCATGAAAAAATCCAGCTCCCTAACAGTTCCACTCTTTCAACTTCAGGTCCAGCGCAAGAGTTGTTTGAAAAGCCTTTCTTTGAATCTATAGCAAAGGCTCTTCGTCCTGGAGGGGTTGTATCTACGCAGGCTGAGAGCATATGGCTTCACATGCACATCATTGAAGAAATTGTTGCTAATTGCCGCCAGATCTTCAAAGGCTCTGTCAACTATGCATGGACTACTGTTCCTACTTATCCAAGGTGAACTTCTATTCTTATCATTTGATCCAATAAGGTTCCGTTGATATGAACAAATTTGATAAAAAAACACCAATTACTCAAAGATATTTCCTTTTCAAACCTGCTTTGAAATACTTCACTTGTTTTGCTGCTGCTGTTGACGACTGTATCACTCTTCCAGTGGCATGATTGGTTTCATGCTCTGCTCTACTGAGGGACCTGCAGTTGATTTCAAGAACCCTATTAACCCCATCGACGATGAATCCCCTGCCAAGTCCATTGAACCTTTGAAGTTTTACAACTCTGAGGTATGCTGTCATTCTATTTCTTGGACTGAATCTTTGTTACTCACATCTAACAATAGCACTTCAACTTTTGATTTGTTCTTTTCTTTTTCTCTAGATTCACCAAGCATCATTCTGTTTGCCATCATTCGCCAAGAGGGTGATCGAAACCAAAGGAAAATAATTTCGAAGGAGTGCTGAGTTAGTTGTACTACGCCCTATAGTTATCGCAGTTCTTTTTTTTTTATAAATTAAAGACAATGTTTTTAGGTTATTTAAGCCAAATGGGGTTGAATGATGGATTATAATTTCATCTTTGATATAATATTCTAGTTTGTTTATCTTGATGATTTTCATTCACTTTACATTATAGAGTTGGACAACATTTTGGTATTTCAGGCCTTTGATACTGAAATTTGCATACAAAACTAGTTACTAAATCGAATTTGATAATTAATAAAAATGGAGCAAGTAAAAGTAGTACCTTGTAAAGTTGATATGAAATTTTACTAGTTGAAATTTGTTGAGGGTAATGATCTAAAACAAGTATAGATTTCCCATAAGCAAATTCCAAAGCTATAGACATCGCATTTGGAATTTTTGACAATTTTTTTTACCCTTTTGACTCGGCAGTCCAATAAATTGCATGCACAAAATTAATATGTTGTAGCTAATTTGCAAATAAACATAATAAAAAGAGAAATTAATTAATTACATACCTCAGCAATATTGGAGTTTTGAAGATGGCACCAAATAGAAATTTCTTGTTTGAATGCCTCGAATATCGATTTCTTTTGTCTATTGAATCCTTGTTTCCATATCTCAAATCAAATACTTTAACTAAACAAAAAATATGTGTATTAATTAGAGTCTGGAGCATAAAGTCTATAAAATATTAGCAAAAATTCTAAAACGGAATACAAAATTTTATATTAACCAAAATGACAAAATCGCTAGAAAAAGTAAAATCGTTATAATGTGATTTTTTAAAAAAAAAAATTAAAGAAAATCGCTGCCTATCTTTTAAAAAAAAATTTAAAAAATTTGCAAAATCTCTGCAATTTGCTCCGCTGTTGTTCCAGCAATTTTGTCATTTTGGTTAATATAAAATTTTATATACCATTTTAAAATTTTATTAATATTTTATACCGTAAAAGTTACCAAAATTTCGATAAATACATATTACTTTTTAAGCATGTAATAGTAAAATTACAATATTTTAGAAACATAATCACTAATATAATAAATTATACTCACATGAACAACAATATTCAAGAAATATAACCCTAATATCTGTATATATTTTTACTATATTCATTCTAATAAATAATAATATTCAAGATTTACTATAGTCGCTCTAACAATAATATTAAAGAAAAACGTAGAAAATTATATTCAGATTAATAATAATATTTCAAGAAACGTGAAAAAAAACAAATTAGGAAGTATATGTATAAACATAAATAAAAAATTAGTAATTAATTATACCTGCAACTTGTCTTTCGTTGTAAATGCCTTTTATAAACTGCCCCAACACCTCCAAATCCAATTAAATTTTCAATAATAAGTTTTGAAGCATCAAGTTCCCTTTCTTGTTTCTTCGTCATGTTTAGTTTAATTTTATGGATTGTTGGGTTATAGTATTGATTATAAATAGTATTTACTATAATTTATTTCCTATTAGGAAAAGAATTACCTTTTATTGAATGGTAGGATTAGTTAGTTGAAATAAGTTATCAGTTATAATAAAATACGTTATGTTAAAATTCATTTTTCTTTAAGGTTTTGATTTGTAGTATTTAAAAGGTAAAATGCATAACTAGATCTTCAATCTATGTCCGAAATTTCAAAAACACATTTATACTATACTAAGGTCCTATTACCTCTTGAACATATTTTATAAGTAATTTTTTTTACCCTTTTTCGACCTACGTGACAATAACTTGAAAAAAAAGTTAATCAGCATTGGGCCCAAGTATGTCTCTGAGATTTAGATTGAAGAGGTATTTGTTCACTATCTCTATTTAAAAAAATACAAAATTACTTGGGATTACTATAAATTGTATCTCATCTTATTTCGCCTAATACAATACCAAAATTAATTTTGTATTTTATTCTAAAAAAAAAGAAAAAGAAAAAAGGGGTTTACGGGTAAAGTTGAATTTTTACTCAAACTAGAAAAGAAACAAAAATAAATTTAATAATTTTGATGTTGATAGAAAGTGTCAAACATTATTCGTTTGTTCTGTTATTATTACATGACACGTTTTAGGTTACAAATAAAACTTTCCGTGTTACACGAACTAGATTTTAGGATACAAAAACAAAAATAATAGTAATACTACTTTAGTACACTAAATAAAATAATTAATTTTGTTATTGTTGTTGTTAGAATTATGAGTAGTAAAGAAGAAATTGAAGAAAATAGTGTTAGTGAAGGATTATTATTGAGAAGAAATGGTAGTAATGGAGGGGGAAGTAGTGGATCATTAAGATGGGTTGATGGTAGTGAAGTAAATGATAATCAAGAAGAAGTTTATGATAAAAATGAAGAGATTATTAGAGAAAATAATTATGGATCTGTTAGAAGAAGGCTTAAAAAGCCAAAAAGAGTGGATTCTTTGGATGTTGAATCTATGCAAATTAAAGGAGGGAATGGTGGTAGCCAACATATAAAGGTAAATCGACAGCATAAAGAATTTTTATCGTTTGATATGAGTTTAATCATGTTATAAAATCATGTTTATCGCAAAATCTGATTGAGTAAATATTTATATAGTAGCAAAGATGTATTTTTGGAGGAGAGCTCAAATAGTAGTAACATCATGAGTGGAATTTTTATGTAAGTTATGAGTTCATTCAATATTTATATTAAGAATCCACTAAATAAGTATTTTTTCTATCATAAAATCAAGTAAGTTTGTGGTAGAATTTCCTGATTTCGAATCCATAAAGTTAAAATCCACTAAATAACAACATTAATGCATCTTGAACTCAAAATAAGAGGGAAAATTTAACTAATATATACTAACAATAGAAAAAAATGCATAATCAATTTATTTAAAGTTGTTATAGAAGATAATCCTCACTATTCAAGTTGGTAATCAACTTTTATGAACAATAATTATCTTTTTGATAACAAGAATTTAAGTTATATGTATTCACAGTGTAAAAAATATTTATACAATCAGATCGCTTAAAAGGTGTTTGTAAGTAACTCATTGTACATGTTTTGTGGAACTATCAACCTTTTCTAGTTACATTTTTTACACTCTGTTTGTATGGTTGTTACGTATTGTTTTATAATATATCGTATTGTATTTTCTGATTACGTTCTTGGACTAATTTCTATTACATGTATAAAAACAGGATGTGCCTCTTTTAGCTACTCTTTCTCTAGCATTTCAAACACTTGGTGTGGTATATGGTGATATGGGAACAAGTCCTTTATATGTTTTCTCAGATGTATTCAGTAAGGTTCACATCACTTCAGAAGTTGATGTCTTAGGTGCATTGTCGATTGTGTTATACACAATCGCGCTCATTCCTCTAATGAAGTATGTGTTTATCGTGCTTAAGGCCAACGACAATGGTGAAGGTATATATACATAGGCAGTTTTCAAAAGTTTATCTTTTGTTCTCTCTCAACTTGTGATGTAATGGTTTGTTTTGTTAAATGTGGTAGGAGGAACATTTGCGTTGTATTCATTGATCTGTAGGTATGCAAATGTCAATCTTCTTCCTAATCGTACGCCTGCTGATGAATGTATCTCGAGTTTTAAGCTCAGATTGCCTACTCCAGAGCTACAAAGAGCTGTGTATATAAAGGAGATATTGGAACGTAAATCGTTGTTGAAAACGATTCTATTGCTTTTGGTTCTGATGGGAACATCAATGATAATTGGAGATGGTATCTTGACACCAGCAATATCAGGTACTCCCTCTGTTTCAATCTATCTGTCTTAATTCTAACTTTCTACGAGACATGTTTAAGACCATAAGATCAACGTACATTTTGGTGAATTCTACGTATCTTTCTCTATGTCAAGTCAAAACGAGATACCAGGATGGTTTATGTTGTTTGGTTTGAAATTCGTTTCTATTTTGGCAGTTATGTCTGCTGTTAGCGGACTGGAGGGTAGGATACCGGGATTTAATACAGGTATAGTTTGCTTCTTTCTCTTTAAAGTTACTCGCAAAATGACTTACTACTAAGAAGCTAAGATTTGTTTGTGTTCTATGGAAATGCTTTGATTAGTACTGTTGGGAACTTCTGCATAGAAAAACCGTTAATGTGATTGATCGTTGCATACAGATGCTCTCGTAATAATTTCAATTATCATCCTTGGCGGGTTGTTCAGCATACAGAGATTTGGGTCAAGTAAAGTTGGTTTCACTTTTGCTCCTGCTCTAGCATTGTGGTTCTTCTGTCTGGGTTCGATAGGAATTTACAATCTGCTGAAGTTTGATGTAACTGTTGTAAGGGCAGTAAATCCAACTTATATCTATCTGTTCTTTAAGAAGAACTCGACCAACGGATGGTCAGCTCTTGGTGGTTGCGTATTATGCATAACAGGTACGTAACCTATTGTTCATCTGAAAAACCTGTGGAGAGATGTAGAATACTAATATGATGCTCGATTATTCAACACGAGCAGGAGCAGAAGCAATGTTTGCGGATTTAGGTCATTTTTCTGTGCTGTCTATACAGGTGTTTTTGCCATTGTCCCTTCACATTCATATACTTGACTTAACATAATATCTAACAGCACACGCTTCATTTCTGATGCAAGTTGTCTCGTGCAGATTGCCTTCACGAGCGTGGTGTTCCCCTGCCTTCTGTTAGCTTACTTGGGCCAAGCTGCTTTTCTTATGAAATACCCTCAATCAGCTGGCAGAATATTTTATGATTCAGTCCCAAGTAATAATCGTGTTAATGAGCTCTATATATTCACTTTCCGCGTTCTATAACAAGTGCTCTATTGACACTCGTTTTTTTTATCTGAACAAACAGATACTTTCTTCTGGCCAGTTTTTGTGATAGCAACTATAGCTGCAATAATTGCCAGTCAGGCTATGATATCTGCTTCATTTTCATGTGTTAAGCAAGCTATGGCTCTCGGATGCTTCCCGAGGGTGAAGATTATTCACACCTCAAAAGAGCATATGGGGCAAATCTACATTCCAGTAATCAATTGGTTCCTGATGATAATGTGCATGCTTGTGGTTGCTGCATTTAGAAGCACAACAAGTATAGCCAACGCATACGGTTAGTCTCTCAGTTCACACAACGACACTCAAATGCTTGTTATCTTGATGATACCGAGATTATGAATCTTCTATTGCAGGTATAGCTGAGGTCGGTGTCATGATGGTTACGACGACTTTGGTTACAATTGTTATGGTACTGATATGGCAGACAAATTTGATTTTGGCTTTGTGTTTCCCCTTAATATTTGGAACAATGGAGGTTGTGTACATGTCTGCTGTTTTATCAAAGATCTTAGAAGGAGGTTGGCTTCCACTCGTTTTCGCCTCTCTGTTCCTCTGTGTGATGTACATATGGAACTATGGAAGTGTACTGAAATATCAAAGTGAAGTTAAGCAAAAAATCTCATTGGATTTCATGGATGAACTTGGGTGTAGTTTAGGTACAGTAAGAGTACCAGGGATAGGCTTACTCTATAATGAACTAGTTCAAGGCATTCCATCGATTTTTACGCAGTTTCTATTGGACCTTCCAGCTATTCACTCTGTTATAGTCTTTGTCTGCATCAAGCATATCCCAGTACCTGTTGTTCCTCAAGAAGAACGATTCTTGTTCCGAAGACTCTGTCCTAAGGAGTATCATATGTTTCGTTGTGTAGCTCGATATGGCTATAAAGATGTGAGGAAAGAAGATCATCACTTATTTGAACAGCTTTTGGTTGATAGTCTTGAGAAGTTTTTAAGGAATGAAGCACTTGATCTTGCTTTAGAAACCAATAAACAATCTCAACCTGAGTTTGACAACAATGTTGTGAGTCCCATGGACAACTCTGATGAGCTTAAAGTACCATTAATGCGCGATCAAAGATTAGAGATTGAAACATGTATCTCAGAACCACCAGCAACCACAGCAGCGGGAGATGAAGATCCTAGTTTGGAATACGAGCTTTCAGCACTTCGCGAAGCTAGTAAATCAGGATTTACATACTTGCTTGGACATGGAGACGTCAGGGCGAAGAAAAACTCATGGTTCATCAAGAAACTAACTATAAATTACATGTATGCATTCCTTAGGAGGAATTGTAGAGGAGGAAATGCAACAATGAGAGTACCTCACATGAACATAATGCAAGTTGGAATGACATACATGGTTTGATCAACCATATTCTCTTTCTTTTACAAGACAAAAATGTCTATGTTGATGATTCAAGAATTTAACACAAACTATATCATATCAATCAACTATTCTGTAATGTCTAGTTAGATTACTCAATATCATCAACTTGAATGATGATTTAGTCTGATATGTTTTAAATGATACAAACGATCGAACGATATTTTGCTAATTATCTCTCTTTGAATGGTTGTTACGTATTGTTTCATAATATATATTGTATAACTTTTTGTCTTTACGTAATGTCACACATCTTCAGAACAAATTTTCACTTAAACGACTGCTCGTCATCTTCTTCGCTTTTTATTTTCTTAAAAAAATTAAAATATCGCAGCTATAAATTGTTTAAGTGTTATAAATAAAAAAAATATAAGATATTAAGAGAATTTCATATCTAAAATTTGGATCTTTTAGAGGTGACTTCTTGAGTTGATAAAAACTGAAAAGTTTATGTATTTTTCATGTATAATGAAGTTATATTTAGTAAGTGTATTATAAATAATATAATCCGTATTTTCTATGTATACGTAAGTTATATTGTATAATCGGTAAAGTGTATACAACGTGAGGCCCAATATATTACATCAATTCAGCCCACTTTACTCTTTCGCCTTCATTAGGTCCAAAACCCTCAACCCGCCGAGACTGAGAGCTGCCGTCTACTGCTCTGAGTCTCCGCCGCCGGTTGCCGCCTGCTGATGCTCGGCCGTCTTCCTCGTCTTTAGGTAAGCTCCGTCGTTATTAGTTTTTTTTTTGAGAAGAAACAATTGTAGATTAACTATATACACTATAATTGAATTGAGAGTTCTGCTTGTTGAAGACGTGAATTCAGTTTCTGCTTGTTGATGTTGTTTGTTCTATGCTTGATAAATTTCTCATATTTGAGTTAGAGATTATGTGAAGTTATCCAATATTATTATTTTGTGTTTTATGTATTCGGTATTTATCTGTTTTTGCTCGTGTGTATTGATTCTGCATTTAGATTCTGCAAAACGAGAACGTATAGATACATAAGTGCAAATGAAGTTTGATTATTTCAAAGCCTGAATAGTATAAGGCACTATCCCGTATACTCTGAACCTTGAACCTTTTAATTCTGTAGCTGCAAAACTTTAAACTCTATTCTTATTATTGGTAATTTATGGTTATGCTTATCTAGGTTGTAGTTGTGTTTGTGTGCTGTGTTTCCTTTTTCTACTGCTGACCTAACTTCTAATGCTGCAGCTTAAGCTGTGTAAACACACGATAGAACATTATGGCTGAAGAATCAGTCTCGGAAGCTACAAAATGTTTTAGGAAAAGAAAGATGGAGTTCAGGAAGAAAGGGGGTAAGGGAAAGAAGAAGCAAAAGGGTGCGCCATTTAGTGAAAAAAGAGTAAAAATAGACAATAAAATGAAGAAGCTTTTTGAGAAGAGAGCTAGAGACTATAACTCTGATAATGAAGATGATAATGATGGGGAGCCTTCCCCTGTAACTAGAGCTAAACGTACATCATATGGTAAAGACAAGCCCAAATCATATGGTAAAGACAAGCCAAAATCATATGGTAAAGAGAAACCCACATCATATGGTAGAGACAAATCCACGTCATATCGTAAAGAGGAGGAGGATTTTGATGAGGAATGGGCAGATGATGGAGAAGAGGATCTCAATGAGGAAATTGAGATATCTGAAGATGAAGATGGAGAAGTTCAGCCTGGAATTACAAAGTTTATAGATGGTTGTAACGCATTCAGACTGGCGTTCAAAAAGATTCTAAAGAAGTCTGCTTCTGATGATATACTGGTAAATGACCTGCTTTCTCCATCATTTTTTAGTTGGTTGGCTTCGTGTTATCCTCTTTTTTTCCCGAAGTTATAGGACTTCAAAATAATTTTATTTTGTTTTGTTCCTTAATGGACATCTGGACTTGGTGTTTGAGATATCTTTCTTCTATGAGTGTTTGGTTTTGAGACAAAACTATGCATGTTTGGAGTAAAAAACAAGATAGCTATGCAGGAAAATTAAACATTTTGTTCTTCTTTCGCAAGAAAAATGATACTTGTTTCCACAGATAAAAGAGACCCTTTATACACCTTTTAATGCATTTATTCAGTTACTAGCATGTAAGCTAGATTCTAATGAAATTATAGTTCAAAAGCTCCTCAAGCTCATACTTACTGCGTAGAGGAAGTGTTTTGGAGAAATTAATGGTAAATATGTTGGTTTGATGAACCTAACCTGCAGGGCCCTGTCTTATCAGCACACAAGAAGCTTGTTGCGGAGAAGCTTGCTGAAGAAGATGTAGAACGAAAGGTTAAAGGGGAGGCAAAAAAGGAGAAGCACTTGGTAATCCTGTCTGGTTTCATTTAATTGCTAAGTTTCCTGTTTTTTGTTAGTGTATTGTTGGGACTTGTTCTAATCTTTGACATTTGTGTAAAAGATAAGAGAGAAGGGACATGAGAAACCTGCTAATTTCTTGGACACCTATGAAAAGTCTCTGATAGCAGTTGCAACAAAGGGAGGTAATCAATTTCTTCTTCTTGTGTCGGGAACTTAATTAGTTTTGTAAATGCATTAATAACCTTTCTATTAGATCCACCTAACTTTGTCCTTAATTTTTTTTGGGGCACTATGGTACTATCAGTTGTCAAGTTATTCAATGCTGTAAGTTGCAGTACACATTCAAACTCAATGCTTCTGTTTTATAAAAAAGTTTTTTGCTACTTTCAGCTAGCTCAATTTTGTTTGTGTATGTGATACAGGTTAACAAAGCACAACATGCTCAAAAAGGTTTAAATCCCTCAAGGGCAAAGGACGAGAAAGGTAAGGGCAAAATACTGATACATGGATTATATGATCGGTTCTCAATTTTCTTTATAAAAAGTTTTTGTTTTTTTAAAAGAACTGAGAACTCTGTACATGCCGTTTTGCTGTTCACATGGTAGAAGTAAGGATGGGATCAACTGCAAGTTCTCGTCTTTAAAAACTGCAATGGATCACAAATTCTTGATAATTCAATTGGGATTAGTTTGGTTAAAATTTACCTTTAGAGCTGTTATTCTGTATCCAATACAATAACTTCTATTTTCTGATGTATAGTAATAAAGAAGCGACGAAGAGAAGTCTTTTTCTCTGAATTGGGCAAGGCACCATCACAAACAACTGTATCAAAGGTCAACTCTTTTCTCCCTCTCAGAATTATGATGATCGTTTTGGGAATTTTCTCTTATTATTTTACAACATTGTTTCGTATAGTTATCTTGTCTTGGACGATCGTTTTCTTTTGTTTTTTGAGTTGGGTGGAGGGGGACGGGAAGAGCAAAAATGGGTCTATTCAGAAAAAAGTATTTTCATGCTGTCTCTAGTTGGTTCTATATTTATTTCATATTATTTTTCTGTTGTTACATTTGCTTCATACTTGAATGAGTTGGTCCTAAATGAAAGGTACATCAAATAATGTGATATATTGTGGTGCTTTTTTACAATTACCAATCATTTTTTGAGTCGATATTTTTCAAGCGCTTGTCCAAAAAAGAACATTTTCAAGTTTCACCTATGCAGGCCAGTCATTTTCATACCAGATTATTGCTTTTTTCCCTTATTCTGTAGTTTAATTTCATGCAGGCTGGTGCATCCAATTCTTTGGAAGATGAAGGCCCCGCGTGGGCTCCTCTACGTGATACCTACATGCTGACTAATCCCAAATTAAAGGACTGGGATAAGAATCCGGTAAGGATAACTTACTCCTAACTTTCTGAATTTACCAGACACCATGCTTGTGAATTAAACACTGTAATAGGAGAAGCTCCTTGTATATAACAAAGTGTTCCCTAGATTCGGAACTTTTTTGCAATACTCACTATCCTTATTAGTTAATAATACTAGTTATTAGATCTTTATGCTTACTGGAGGCGGTAAGACAATCTCCCTCTTCTCAAATGATCGATGTTACCTGATGTTCGTGCAGGACACAACTGTTGATGACGATGTAAGGATGCCAGCTGATTCAGATTCATCTGATGATGAATAAGTTACTGAAATTTTGATATTCAATCTATCTGCTTCAAGCATGTTGGGATGCCGACTGCCTATATCCAAAGCAGGGAAGTATCGCGTAGGCATAGTCAAATTAACGCTGGAGCAACTTTTTGACTGTATAGAGATCCTCCTGTTGTTAGCTGATGTTTTTTTTTGTAATCCCTTTACAAATTTTGATATTTTATTTTCGAGGTCTCTTCGTATTTTTTCCATTATTCGTGCGAGAGGGGATACTTAATGGTGTTCTATATATTCCAGTATTACACTAGGTTGATTTAGCACTATGAAATCATAGCCTGTGTTGTTAAAGACAGTTTTACCAATGATAATTTAACTTTATAAAGTTGGTTCAATCTTATTACAACTTGAATATTCATCAACCATCTTATTTTTTCTTGAGAGAAAAATGTGTATGTTCTTCTGTATGGGCTTTTAGATTTTAGTATGTTCCCAAATGGGCTTTACTTCTTAATAAGATAATATTTGGTTACATGCAAGTGGCAAAAGTAGAATAGTAAGTTACATATGAGCTACATAAGAAAAGAAAATGCTTTTTTTCTTTTTCACTCTTTTTTGCTTCTCTTTTTTCTCATGCTTTTATTTAAGTTTGTTCAATGCATTAATAATACTTTAGTTACATACAATTATTGGAAATAATTTACTAATTCACACTTCTAGAAGTAATATATCTACATTCTAAAAATAAATGACCTTTGAGTGGTTATCAACACTTGCCAAAGTAAAAAAAAAAGGTGAGAATTGTGTGAAAGGTGTTATCTTATGATGATAATTTAGAGTGGTCCAAAAATGAAGATGCCAAATGTAAAAAGCAACATGATTATTGACCTTCAATATTTATTTTCTTTCACTAGTGTTCCTATATATATTAGCATTAAGGTATCAAAATACTCAAGTAGAAACATTTTCTATCCTTTTCATTTGACACTTGCTTAGTTGGTCCCCCCTCTCACTAAATTGATATTAATGGCTAAGAAATCATTGATAAGTAGAAATTTCTTGAACCAGCACCATTTTTCACTTCTTGTTTTTTGACCCTTCAACTTCTTCTAGAATGAAAATTCTTTGAAACTACTAAATAGATTTGAATATATGTAAGAGTTAGGGAGAGGGGCCTTCGCCCCAAACAGTCAGATTCACTATTTACTTTTCTAGTTGATATACGTACATTATCTACGATGTGTTATACCTTTATTGGCTATTTTTTAGTTTAAGCGATTGGGATGTTGGTATTTTATATTTAGACTATTTTATATCATGATGCCAACAATTTGAATTTGTCCATGTACTATATATATTTCCTCTCTAGAAAGAAAGAAGAGTCATTAGGTAAAAGTATACCACCAAAAGTTTCGCCTTTAACTAGATGTTTGTAAGTGTTAAGTCCTGTACGTAAAAAATATTTTATTAAGAAGTTTTTTTCTCTAATAAGTCCTATTCAAATTAGTCGTAATCCCAAAATGTATATCGGATATCTAATGGAAAAGAAAAACATTATAAAAGAATAGTGTTGTTTGATAGCTAATAAAGATGTGACTTGTCTATGTATTAATTTCTATACAAGTTATACATCATCTAATATCTAGTTAAGAAGAAAGTAATTATGAAGGAATTGGTGTATTATCTTATGCATGGTAAAAGATTAATAGCTAATAACGTCATAGCGAATACTCACACTACTATTACTTATATAATCGATACTTGCATAATTCTAATCTGCTATCAAACAAACTCTTGACATTACATCAAGTTTCACTTGTTCAAGTTGGGTGTTCTAAGAAAAGATCAAATATGGTTGAAACTAACTAATCCAATACTTATCCTTGTTGTATATGCATATACTTATATGTATATGTATATATCCATGTCCTAAAAACAAATTGAATTTTCTAGGAATTAGTGGGTCCAAGTCTCTAATCCAATCAATAAAAAAAAAAGACAAATTGAGAGGTCCAAGTCATGAATAATTGGACCATTTAGTGAAAGGGCCCAATTTGAGACAATCTTCCACGTGTGGGAGCTATTGATGAGGATGTCTTGAGTTTACGTAAATAGCCACTTTGATTATTGACTTTAATGATGTCAACTTCTTTTGCATAAAATAAATCCCTTTTTTTTTCCATTTTAGTCACTAATTCAATCATAAAAAAGTGAAAGTGAAAGAAGAAAGAGAGATAATTAGGTAAAAAAAAAAAACTTTATGTCAAATGTCAAAATTTAGGTACATGACTTAAAAGTCTTTATCATGGAGTATGCATAACTAGAGTGGCCTTAGTTGGAATGAAGTGACTACTTGGGTCCAATCTCCAAATAGAAAAAACTTTGATAATCGCATGTGACGATTTATCTAGTATAGTTTATATCTCCTATATAATTTACAAGCTATTATATAATACGCATAGATAAATTTATTTAGCGTGCACTTAAAGAACAGTAATTATGATTATTTTCAAAATAACTCCAAAAAAGAGAGCTTATCATATTTCATTCAATATAGTAGCATTTAAAATATATTTGTTGAATAATGCTATTTCATGATGTCACATATATTTATTAAATCAAAATTATTAGGTTTGAGTGAATCCATCAAAGGCCTAGATCACTCCTAATTAAAGAAACAGTCAAAATTCAACCACTCAACTCAAAACATTTTTTGTTTTTTTTTAATTACAACTCAAGTTAAATAATTAACTTGATAAAATTATTTATTTAAGAGTAACTTCAAATTTTATCCTATATTCAATTATAAAAAAAAAGTGAATTATTTATTGAAAAAGACAAGTAAAATAGGTTGTGTATTTATTTTAGAATTTAATTTTTTTAAAATTCATATTGAAATGTCTATTTTAAAGATTTATTGTTCCTTATTAAAGATAATTTTTCATTCATTTCCCTAACTTGAAAACAAAACCCTCAATATTTTTATATGTAGAATTCACCTAATCCTCTTTTTATTAATAGGACATAGAATTCCAAACAAGAAAACAATGACAAAATATATCTCTTAAAGTAAGGAGGAAAAAAAGAAAGAAAAGGTGGGTGATCAATATTATAATGTTTTTAGACACCCTAATTAAGGACAACCTTATTATATATTCACTTATTTTGGCTTATTTAATTACTTGGATATGATATAATATAATTACTTTAGGTATTTGATGGATATATTTGACGTTTTACCTAACTATATAATATATAGTTTAGTATGCCAATGTAATACGTTCCTAATTGTTAACCTACTTAGGCGGCAACTAAAACACTTTAATGACAACTACTTGTTATGCGTGGGTTTAATACGAAAGAAAATATTTTTTTAAATGTATTTTTATGTTAAATAAGTACTACTTTTTAATTTATTTATTTGTATTCATTATGTTGAAAAAAAATAATTTATTCTAAAAAATTTATACATAAAAAAACTTATGAGAATAATCATTGAACATTTTTTAGTAGACAATTTTAATTGAAAATAATGTTTTTTCAGTAGTGAAGGTATAGTGAGGTGAATTAAGGAGTGTAGGGTGGTGGGGATAGGACAACGAAGATGATAATAAAGATGAGGTGTGTCAAAGTTAAAATAAGGATACGATTTAATCGATTAAATATAAAAAAAAATTGAAAAAATATTTTTTTCGTATCAGACACACCAATATAGTTTGGATATTTATTCAAACTTTTGAAATACCTAATGAAAACGTGTTATGGTGTTTGTGTGTTGTGTTAAGCATGTAGTTTGTTTGTGTTGATTTTGATTTGTGTGATCCATGTTCTTTTATTTTGAACCGTTCCCTTTTTTCAATATTTAATAGCATGAGGTTTTCTAAAGATTATATTAAGTAGGTCGATATCAAATATTTTAATATTGCTGTATTCGAGTAATTTATTCTGTTAGATAAGAAATATATAGTAATTTTGAGATAAAATACGAGATTATTATTTGATATTTCGTTAAATTTTTTATTAATCTAAAACTTGTGATTTTGAAATAAATTAAATCAATTTTATTTTTACATACCATAACAATCTCATAATTAATAATTTCGAGATAAATATATCAAAATGAAACGAATTTTCTATTGCTAGATGTTTGGTTTATTGGATAATAATAAAATATTTAAATATAATGTAAAATATATTTAATTTAATATAAACTAGGTTAAATAAAGAATCTTCATAGTTCGATATAGGTTGGTTATTTGAATTTTTATCCTAGTTAATTAATATAAATAATTAATTAACTATTATATGACAACATTAAGCATTTGGTAAACATCCCAAATACAATGTAAGTCAAACTGAAGTGAAGAAAATTTTATAAACAATTAATTAGTAAATTGTTTGGTATGAACCAACTATTTTTGTGAGAATTTTTAGAAGAAAAAGTAGGAATACGTTTCCAACTTTGGAAAAAAGAAAAAAAAAGTTTTTTTCTACAATTGTTAGTAGTAAAATTAAGTTTAAAAAAAGAATAAATAAATATAATAACAATTTTTTATTTTTGTCTAGATATTTTTAGAAATTGTTCAAATCAAGAAGAAATGTCGGCCAATAAATTCTTTTATTACCAATAGACCCACAAAAGTACACATAAAATTAAATATTTACTATATTTTAATTTAATGGAGAAACTATTTCCTTTTGTTTAGAGCATACATATTTCTTTTCAGGAAATTTAAATATTTGGAGATTGTTTCAAATAAGTTTATCAAATTTATCCATTATTTGAATTTCAAAAAGCAGGTTAATTATACCTTAACCTCTTATTCCAAACTTAATTTCATATAGGGACCACTTATAGTATATTAAGTAACTATTACCCGTGAACTTATTTTATTAATAATTTTCTATTCCTTTTTGGTCTACGTAACATTATCTTGTAGGCCTAATGCTTGTTATTTTTTTTTCAAATTAGTGCCACGTAGGTTGAAAAGGGATATAAAATTACTTATAAAATAAGTTAATAGGACCTTAGTATAGTATAAGTGTGTCTCCGAAATTTTGGATATAGATTGAGGAGGTACTTGTGTATTTTCCCTTTCAAATACGACGTTTTCCTCCGAGTTTATTTTTTCTTTTTAAAAAAAGTATTAACTATAAAACTTTTGACCTCGCTACTATGTGTACTATAACCTGAATCGAAGATAATAAATATTAGAGAGAAATATTAGTTACACTCGTAAACTTTATGTAAATTATTAATAACCTTGAGAATATTTGTCTGCTTGACTAACTAAACGTAAATACATTCGTCATTACATTACATATCAAGTGATATCAAACTCTTGTAGGAACGCATTAGACTTTTAATAAAAAATTAAGAGAAATACTGAAAACACTCCT